TATGATACAGGACCAAGTTAAGTTTGAAATGCCATATTTTATGTTAATGTGCATCACATCTCCTGGGTCTTTGAGATGTGCGTTCATTTCTTTGATCATTTATGGGACTTTGACATCAGTATCTTTTGCACTTTTGCCTGTTGGCATCAGTGCAGAATGTTGGAGACAGAAGATCCAGGCGTTTACACAGGCCCAGCGCCCCATTCTGTGCAGAGGACCAAGTCCATATCCTTCTGCGTGATAGCAACAGCTCACAGCGTGACATCCACCACCTGCCCAGCCTGCTGCCTTGGCAGGGGAGGGATTGTATCTTCCAAGTGAAAGAGCTTAGTTTTGTAGCAAAACACCTGGCCTCGCTTGTCAGGTCTGATTCTGTGAATTGTGACAGATGAGTCAACCCTTCTGAGTTTTGCTTTCCTCCCATGCAATAAGGGAATGGTAACTCACCTCACATAGTTGGGAGAGTGTTGGATGGAATAGGGTGTGTGGGCCCCACCAGGGATTTTTATAAGTTCAACTAAATATACGAGAGTCGCACTTGTTGCCAGCAGGGCAGTTGCTCCCAGTAGGGAGTTTGAGGCACTTGCTATGAATGACAGTTCACATTCCTACGTGGAGACTATCTCCCCACATGACAGCTTTGGGCACAAAGCACAAGATCCACATCCAGCAAGGATGTTGCCATTTGGCTTAAAAGCAGCTTCAGCTCTTAGACCAATTCTTTGGCACAGTTTGTAGGGTTCCCCGAAACCAGCTGCATGGTGGAAGCAGAACTCGAGGTGGCCTCATCAGATGTTCTCGTTCATGGTGCTTCACAGTCCGGAAGCAATTTACTAATCAGCGATCCTTTCAGTCTCAGCAGTGTTGCCTAGCAATATAGTTGATGCCTGTGATCTTACCTGGTTTCCAGGGTAACAGAGCAGGTGGTTAAACCAAAGGTCAGATTCTCTAGCAGCAGGGAAAGAGGTTTCTTAACTCTTTCTTCCTATTATTCAACAGATCCAACTAGGGCTTCACCTATTATCAAAATAGGCGAGTTAATTTTATGTAAGGGCTCACTCTGAGTCAGGAATTGTGATTCAGTAGAGTCCATTGATAAAATAGTATATTGCTGCATATATGTTTTTTTCTTCCATAATGCCCTTTAATTTTGCATATTATCTGGAGAACTCATCATCCTGTAAAGGCCAGACCAGACGCTATTTTTTGCAGTTTATATACCATCTATGCTTCCTAGTATTTTATTTATATATTATCTTGAATTCCTGAATTGCTTTGGGGAAAGCCTGCAGATTTTGTATGCACATGAGAATATATGTTTAAGGGAGGGGTAAATGCTTTTATTTTTGAGATTTATTTATTTTTATTGGAAAGTCAGATATACAGAGAGGAAGAGAGACAGAGAGGAAGATCTTCTGTCTGATGATTCACTCCCCAAGCGGCCACAACGGCTGGAGTTGTGCTGATCTGGAGCCAGGAGCCTGGAGCTTCTTCCAGGTCTCCCACATGGGTGCAGGGTCCCAAGGCTTTGGGCTGTGCTTGACTGCTTTTCCAGACCACAAGCAGGGAGCTGGATGGGAAGTGGGACTGCTGGGATTAGAACCGGTGCCCATATGGGAACCCAGCGCGTTCAAGGCGAGGACTTTAGCTACTAGGCCACGCCGCCGGGCCTGAATGCTTTCTTTTAAGTAATCTTTATTTTTAACTTCAAATTTTATGAAACCATTCTGTAGAGTGTGATTCTTCCCCTAAGTTTCCACCCCCCTCTAACTGATTTTTCCCCATGTGGTTATATTAGTATACTCGTTCATAAGGAGTTACGTTTCTATCAGTCTGTTATGTAAAGGTGGCCCGACGTTGTTGCTACAATGTCAGGCAGTCCATCAGGGCTGAATGCTTTCAACAAATTTAACTCAAGAATTTAAACTCGAGAGTTTAGAGCCACTATTTTATTAGAAACATCTTTTTAAGGATTAATTTATTTTTGAAAGGCAAATTTACAGAGGGGAGGAAAAATAGAGTGAGCTTTTATCTGCTGGCTCGCACCCTAGGTGATGCAACAGCCAGAGTTGAGCCAATCTGTAGCCAGGAGTCAGGGCCCAAGGGCTTCAGCCATCTTCTGCTTCCCCAGTCCTTAAGCAGGGTGCTACATGGGAAGTAGAACAGATGGGGCTAGAACCAGTGCTTATATGGTGCTGCATGGTGAAGGATTGGCCTGTTGAGTCACTATAGCAGCTCCTGTTAGAAGCATTTGTTACATGTGGTTCTCTTTGTTTATAGGCGTAAATAAGCATAGTATGAGTCCTTGAAGAGAAGAACTGTGTGTATTCATTACTTGTGTTGGCAGCATGTTTGATTTCCTAGTAGAAGCCAGGAAATGGATGATTGAATAATTGCTGCTGCGTTATTCTTCTTGGGCCCAGCAGTGTACATGATGCTGTAGTACGGCATCTGCTATTTTGAAAGGAAAATTATTACTTATTTTAAGCTAAAATCTGTTTTTATTTCTTCTAGCTCTGTCCTCTGAAGTTATAAATTAGATATGTACCCTGTTGCAAACTATGATTGCCCTTTTATGAAACTCAGAGTTGACAGGAAAATTATGGATAAAATTAAATAAATAAAAACAATTACTACAGGGGAAATCATTAAAAACAGGTATATTCAGGGCTGATGTTGTGGCATGGCAAGTAAAGTTGCCATCTGTGATGCTGACATGGCACACGAGTCTGGTTTCAGTCCCAGCTGCTCCTCTTCTGATCCAGCCTCCTGCTGTGACGCCTGGAAGAGGAGAGGAGGTTGGCTCATGCGCTTGGGCCCTAGCCACCCGCATCCGAGACCTGGGTGAAACTTCTGGCTCCTGGCTTTGGTTTGGACCAGCTTCAGCCTTTGTGGCCAATTGGATAAAGAATCAGCAGCTGGAGGATCTCTTCCTCTTCCCCACCCTCCTTTCTTTAACTCTAAAATAAATAAATCTTTAAAAAAAAGGTACATTTACTTCTTTCACATTTTATGTCTAAGTGTACATTAATTTACTATATTTTTATTAGTGGAGAAGGCTATTGTCACTTTAGCCATGACATCACCACGAGCATGATTAATTTCCTTGGTGACAAGTAAAGCGATGTCTCCTGTGATGTGTTGATGGTTCTTCCTTTGAAGCCATATGTCCATTCCAATCTAAGACGACATCAGACAGAAGCTCAGATTGAGACATTTTCTATGGAATACCTGACCGGTGTTCTTTAAATAGCTCCAGTCCTGACAAGGAAAGCCTGCGAAACTGTCACAGATCAGGAGCGGTCAGGAGAGATGCTGAATACATTATTGTAGATTGGAACTTAGGAAAAAAAAAATAATAAAAGGCCGTTAGTGGGATAACTGGTGAAATACAGATAAAGACTGGAGTTTTGATAACTCGAGCAGTTTTGTAAAATAGAAGGTTAGGTAAAGTTGGGGAAAGTGTATGTGAGAATTGTCTTTATTAGCTTTGTAACTTTTCTTGTCTTTATTAGCTTTGTAACTTTTCTGAAGTTTTTCTAAAAGTCTAAAATTGATAATTCTTATCTCACAAACAACTTGGTGTATTAAATAGAATAAAGTGTGAATAGCCCACTGGAGGTCTTAAGTTTAATTAAACACGCAGATTCACTGGACTATCAGCCTATGTTTCTTGCCAACCGAGAAGCATCAAGAATTCTTTTCAGGAAATTTTTCAAAATAAAATTATTTAAATACAGTAATGGGGGAAAAAAATCACAGTAGATACTGTTAGGTGATTTGAAATTAAGACACATAAGCCAAATTAAAGGTGATACTGAAAAAAAAATTGTAACAACTGATACTGACAAATAGAAAATAAGTTGAAATAACTCTTAAAATCAATAAAAGCATATTAATACCTCACTGTAAAATATTAGTCATTTAAGAAAGAAGAAAAAATATTCAGTAAGTATGAAAGTCAGTTAATTTAAAAGCCACCAGTTAAAGCAACAGAATATTTTCACCATTATTTGCTTGAAGAGGAAAATACCATACTACTATTCAATTACAAAGTAGGTTAATACAAGATTTCTTGATTTGTAAAGACTGTCTGAAAAGTTTACTTGGGCAGGTGTGATGGCTCAGTTGCCTAATCCTATGCCTGCAATCACTGGCATTCCAGTTGGGTGATTTTCAGGTCCTGGCTGTGCCGCTTCCCATCCGACTCCCTTTTTGTGGCCTTGAAGAGCAGTGGAGGATGGCCCAGAGCCTTGGGACCCTGTACCTACATGGGAGATTCAGAAGGGATGTCTGGCTTTCTATTTGGCTTAGCTCCAGCCATTGCAGCCATTAGGGGAGTGAACCAGTGGATGCAAGATCTTTCTATCTCTCCTTCTCTCTGTAGAATCTGCCTTTTTAATAAAAACCAACTGAAAAAGTAGTTTCACCAAGTGAGTGTTGACTGAAAATATGCATATCATTTGCAACTATAACCTCGCTGAGATTTTTTTCCTAAAAAGTCAGATATATATATACATATATATATATTTTTTTTTTCCCAGCCAGAATATTTATCGCAGGGTTATTGGTAATGAAAAGCTCAAAACTCAGATATCTAACATTGAGTGAATTTTCTAAAAAGTCTTAATAGGGAAGAGAGTAATTATGGATACATTAGGAAAGCATGACAAAGCTAAATAAAAGCAAAATATAGTTTATGTATGTCCTCTTAATTTTAGACTTCTTGTGCATGTGTACAAATGTGTGCTAGAAAAGCTGGCAAAGAAATACACTATCAAATGAAAAGTAGTTAATTTAAGCGGTGAGAGAAGGGTGGCTTTTATTTTCTTTATACTTTGAATTCTCTACATGATATGTAGTGAGTGTAATAGTTTTATAAGTTAGGAAAATTAGTGTAGCAACCATGTGGCTAATGGGTTCTTTTCATTTTTCATGCTGATTTAATTATGATAATGTTAGTTCCATCTGTGGAAAACAGATTTTCCTCTTTCCGCTAGGAAGCTCCTGAGGGTGCTGCCACTGCCGTGTGAGAACTGGGGAGCTCTCGTTGGAGAATGGTGCTGTCATCCTGACCCTTTTGCAAATAAGCCACTTCATCCAAGAGAGAATGACTGTTTTATTGGAGACTCTTTCTTCTTGGTGAATTTAAGAAGTGATTTGTGGCAGGTAAGACCTAAACTTGTTCCAGTGTTGACATGCTATCTTGCTTTTGAAAATTATTTTAAACTGTTAAAATATCTTTTTTTCTTTTTAAGATTTATTTATTTTTATGACAAAATCAGATATATAGAGAGGAGGCGAGATAGAGAGGAAGATCTTCCATCTGATGATTCACTCCCGAAGTGAGCAGAATGGCCGGTGCCGTGCTGATCTGAAGCCAGGAGCCAAGAACTTCCTCCAAATCTCCCACACGGGAGCAGGGTCCCAAGGCTTTGGGCCGTCCTCGAATGCTTTCTCAAGCCACAAGCAGGGAGCTGGATGGAAGTGGAGCTGCTGGGAATAGAGCCGGTGCCCATATGGGATCCTGGTGTTTTCAAGGCGAGGACTTTAGCTGCTAGGTCGTGTCGCTGGGCCCAAAACATCTTTTTAAAACAGTGGCTAATTTATAGATTGCTTAGATTCTGGTCTTTCCAACTTTTTTTAAAAATGTTTTTAAAGAATTTATTTGGCATGCAGATTTACTGCGATAGAGACAGAGATGCTCCATAATCTGGGTTGCTTCCTAGATGGTGCTGGTTAGAAGCTCATGGCCTTGTAGGATGCCAGTTTTGCAAGCAGCAGTCTACTTTGCAGAGTACAGAGCCACAATGCTGGTCCCATCTTACTTAATTTACTGTTGCTTATTTTAAACAGCCTATGTTCAGCAGCCATGTCTATGCATAAAGGAAAAGCATGTAGCCTTGAACTAAGACTTTCAAAGTGGGGCGGGGGCTATAGACAAAGGACTTCATATGAAAAATTAAGAATGCTACCATTTTACATACCATTATGCCCTACTTTCTGGGTTTTAGGGCAGTAGCCCACAATGTGTATGCATTTTAACCTCAATAATCTGATGAATGGGGAAAAAAACATTCTCTTGGATCAGGTGTTTGAACTACTACTTAGGGTACCAAGAATGCCTGGGTTCATTTCTGAGCCGTGGCTTGATTCCAGCTTTCTGCTACTGCAGCCCACAGGAGGCAGTAGTGATACTCACTGAAGTAGTTGAGTTCCTGCCACCCGTGTAGGAAAGCTGCCTTGAGTTCCTGGCTTCTGGTCTCAGTTTCAGCCAGGCCCCCTGGCTGGTTTGCCCAGGCATTTAGGGAATGAACCAAAGAATGGAAGCTCTCTCTTTTCTCTATCTGCTTAACTTTCAGAAAATGTGTGGAGAGGAGGGAGCATATTTGTCTCCTGTGGCAGGAAATTTGCCTAGTCAGACCTCAGTATTTTACTGTGTCTCTTGATTAAGTAGATTTCTGATGTTATAAGAATAGATGGCATTTTGGAAAATGAGGCAGGCAAATGGAGAGCCCAGAACTACAGGCAAAGTTTATGCATGCTGCAGGGTCTGAGTTGATCCTAGGCTCTGAGGGGTCAAATGGTCCTTGCTCTCTAAGTGGCTCTAGGGAGGAGACAATAACCTCTCACTGCAGAAAACAAGTGGGTTACTTTAAGAGAAAGTCAATGGCATTGGCTTGGCCATTGTGAGGAGCCATTCGCCCAATCTCTAGTCAATACAGATGTGACTCAAACAGCAAAGAAAATCAATGTTAGGGAGTCTTCATTTTAAATCCATTTAATGAAGCTTCATTCAGGGCTCATTTAATTTTTGTAGTAACAACTGAGCTGCTTCAGGAAATACATGGCAGTTGGACAGATCTTAGGTTATACATTGATTTATACAACTATTTTGAAGGCGGTTAAGGGAATTCATCAAACATCCTGCTTAAGTAATTAATTAACTTCATTTAAATGTCTTGTCTCTCACTGTGAACAGCAATGTCTATCTGATTAAGTCATACTTTAAGCTAAAGTGCTTTGAGATTCCATATTTTTAAAAAGTATGTTAAAGTGATTTTATAAGTTTGTTATAATTAATATCTTCCATTTATATTTTAATCTAGATTATATGTACAGTTACTGTTTCATATGTTTTACTTTCCCTGTTTATGATTACAACCTACATTTAAAAAAATACTTAAAAGATGTGAATGAAAGAGATCAATAAAGAAATCACGCTTCCCTTTTTGATAAAACTGCGTTTGTTCTGATCTGACATAATATTCTTCACATTTGTGTCTTGACTTATCAGTTACATGATGCCATTTACAAGAACTTCTCCTTGTTGAAACAGTCAGCTATGTGTTAAAGAAAGAGCCTTCATAGTTAGACCTCATTGTTTTTAGTGTGGAGGACACTGTGGGAAATTGCTCTGGAGACAATCTACTGTTGTGATCAAGTTAGCCTGGATGGAAGTTTTGCTTTAATTGCATATTGTAGCTGTTGAAAGAGTGTGCCTGTGACCAAAATAGTAACATAAATTTGGAGGGACTGCTTAAACAGTGCTCTCTAGGCTCCTGTGGGAACAAGGCTGCTCTGTGCTGTTGAAAACCTATTTCTCATATCACCCAGGCTTGCTGTCTACCAGGTTTTGAAATGTCACATGGTGACACAGCATCCTAATGGTTTCTCTTGGGAACCATTTTGTGTGGGGGGCAGAGGGAACAGCAAGACAATATTAAGGGTCCTTAGAAATGGAAACAAAACAAAGAAAAATAAAGAAGAGAACAGGCAGCTAGGCCACCTCTCTGAGTAGCCCTGCCTGCCATCCCTTAGATATATCGATTTAATTAGTCTATAACAGTGCTTTCCTTGAGGTTTGTTCTGTAGTGTTCCTGCACTGTTAGGCTGCTTCACTGCACACTTGCTTTATTATTTCCTTGAAGCAAACACAGGTCAAGAAAAATGTATTACCAAGCAGAAATTCTCTTTACACAAATTAATGTGTTAGTTTGTAATTAAAAAGATCTGATTTTACAAAAGCACGAGCAAACACGGAGCATGGGATGGTTTCATTTCTTCCATGCAGTGCTAGAATTTACAGGATTTCTCTTGTGCCTTCTTCGGTGTGCCAGGAAGTACATTTTATTTTCTAAAGCTGTCTGCTGAAGATCTCCCTTCTCTTATGATTTATTTGTTATCTTTTGTGAACTTTTTGCTGCCTCCCAACATAATAAAATGTTTGCATCTTATAATAGTATGATAAAAATGGGACCTCAGTCTTTTATAAGATTCATAATATTATTCAAGACTCAAAAAGGATGGTCACACTTATAACTTTATTCTGTCTTTAAAGAGAAACCAAAATTTAACTTTGATTTACTGCTGGCAAGTTTGAATACTAATAGCTTTATTTTTCTTTCCTGGGATACTTGATAATAATTTATGATTTAGATAATTTGTTTTGTTAAATCTGTTAGTGTGTCTCATTTTTTTCCTTACAAAAATGTGTTTTTGAACTTTGTAAACATTCATAAGTATAAAAAGAATAGTATTATGATTTCAGTATGCAAGCATGCTGTATCTGTTCTTTTTTATACTTCTGCTTAAAGTGCTTTAAAGCAACCCTCAGCCATTATATTGTCTCATCTTTATATATTTTAGTATGCATGTCTAAAATGTGTACTTTTAAAACATAACCACATTACCCTCAACAAAATTAAGTATAATTGGTTACATAGATTGGCCACATGCCAATTTTATCAGTTGTTTTAAAAAATCTTTTTTTCTATAGGTTTGTTTTAATTAATACCCACACACTTGGTTGCTTGAAGTAATTTCTTTTTTATTGATCAAACTTAAAAATCCTGATTATTCTTTCTAGGTAGGGCTAGAATTTTATTTTTCTTAGGACCTTATTTGAAAAACCATCAAAAAGACTTTTCTTACCCACTTAAAAGTGCAAAGCCTTTGGTGAGAGAAATCATAAATAATATGTATGACAGAACACTTAATGAAAAATTTTAACTTTGAACATAAAAATGCTTTCTTCTCAAAAACCACAATTGTCCCTTTCTCTCTGTGTGTATATATATATATATTCACACACACATAAATGCACAGATAATGCATGCACATATATTTTATGTATATACCCTATACAGCATATTAGCTTCTGGTAAAACACTTAGCTTTTGCATCGAGCAAATTTTTTTAAAGATTTGTTTATTTTTATTTTAAAGGCAGCAGATCTACAGAGAGAGAAAGATCTTCTATCTGCTAGTTCACTCCCCAAATGACCAAAATGGCCAGAGCTGAGCTGATCCAAAGGCAGGAGCCAGGAGGTTCTTCTGATTTTCTTGTTGGTGTCGCATTTTAAAGCTTTGGGCCATTCTCTGCTGCTTTCCCAGGCTACAAGCAGAGAGCTGGTTGGGAAGTGGAGCAGCTGGGGCATGAACCGGCATCCTAATGGAGTGCTGGTGCTTATAGTTTGGTTAGTCTGTTGAACCATGGCCCCAACCTGAATAAATTTAACTTGTACACCATGCAACCCTTAAAAAAAATTTTTTTAGTAGAAAAATAGATTTGATTTGCAGTAAGAAACCATGAAACTGGCAAAGACTAGTATCTTTCCAGTTGAGCATATTGGTTTCTTGAGTTTTTTTTCCCCTTTCTGGAACCTGAAATTAGCACCTTCCTTTGTTTCTCAGTTTATTGCTTCTGAAGAGAATGACACCACCAGCCCCTTGCTTGTACCAGACTCTCAATGTGACATGCTGAATATACAAATGTCAGCATAGTGGCCATATATGGCACACTCTACTGGCCTCCTTAGTGAGGGTGCTTGGATATGCGTTGCAACTAGAGCTGAGCAGACTTAAGAGCTCATGCCTGCTTTTGTTGCCTTAGCAGAGACTTTTAGACAAAGACAGGGAAAGGTGTCCAAATCCTGCAGCTAAAACAGAGAGAAATAGGGTAAGTGTTTGTATTACTAAAGCTCCTTCTGTATATCAAGAGATTCATCTCAGTATCCTATATCGGGGAAGAGCCATGCAACATTTATGGATTTTTCCTTGAAGCATGGTTTTGAAGGAAGGTGAAAGAGTAAGTTCTAAGGAAAGCTTCAATAAAATCTGTGCAACTGCTCTTGACTTCTTTGACTACTAACTGATGTGAGAGATAGCTTTTCTACAACAAGCTGTGTTAGCACATAAACACACACTGATACACCCATGCCAGGGTTTGCTGCAACACTTCTGAAATAATATTTGAAGCAGTCATATTTTCTTTCTTTTTTTTAAGAATTATTTTTATTGGAAAGGCAGATCATATTTATGGACAGAAGGAGAAACAGAAAGATCTTGCATCTGCTGGTTCACTCCCCAGATGGCTGCAATGGTTGAAGCTGAGCCAAACAAAAAACCAGGAACTAGGTGTCCCCTCTAGATCTCCCACGTGGGTACAGGGTCCCAAGACTTTTGGACCATTCTCTTCTGTTTTCCAAGCCATAAGCAGCGAGCTAGATGCGAAGTGGCATAGGACACAAACCAGCACCCATATAAACCATTGAGCCATTATGCCAGGCCCAGCAGTCATTTTCTATGCTGTTTTGTTTCATTAAATGCATCTCTGGGAATTGATTTCTGCTAATGCTATATAACTTGTAGTTGAGAAACATGGTGTTTAAAAGCAAAAGATTTAGCATCTGAGAAACCTGGATTCAAACATCAAAACAGCAGTTATGAGCAGCATCTCCTATGCAGCTTTTCAGGAAACAGTTAATTAAAGCAAGGGAAAATATTTAAACTTATGCTAATTGGATAAAGTCTATCCCTTGATTAATGCACATTGTACCCTGTATCAGAAAGGCGTTGTTTTTCCTCACTTTTACCTGCCCTCTCTTGTTTTCCTAGAAGGCAATATCTCAGGTGTCCCAAATTACAGAACTTTTGTCCTGTCTACTTTTATATAATTTGCTGTGCTGCAGTAGAAAAGACTATGAGTAAGAATGTCCTTTGTTGAATGATTTGATGAATACTAGGTATTTTCATCTATATGTCAGAGAGTGAATTTGGGTTTTTAAAGTTTAAAAATGTTTGAAGTGTTAAAGTTTAAGAATGTTTCAGGAATTTATCTCATAACACTATCCATCATTCCAGTTACAGTGCATATCTTAAATGGAAAAAATAGAATTATATGAATAACTTAGATATTTTTATCATCTGAATTTATGGGTACTTATGAGTTATAGGTTACTTTTACATAAATTACACTGGACTAGGAGTCAAAATTACGAGTTCAAGTTCTGATTCATCTACACTTTATATGTATTGGTTGACGCAAGTCATGATCCTTCTTTGCCTTTGTTCCCCCACATGCCTTTTCTAAAACACAAGGCCATTTGGAAGTGATTCTTAGATATGTAAATTGCTTCTTGCTCAAATTGTTTGGCAACATTTGGATTATCATGAAGTACTTAGGTTTGGAAAAGTTATTCTGAGGTAAGACTTGAAAATTATTCCTGCATGTGCATTATGTATACAAGTCAAATGTATTAGCAGTATTTAGTGGAGGGCAGAATAAAATGTAAAGTTCAATGTATACTCTGGAGGCTATGTAAAAATTATATATTCCTTTCAAGAAAAGCTGAATGACATTTAAATGACATTTTTCTCTTCTACAGGAACCAAAGGCAAATACCAAAGTAATTTGTAAGCGTTGCAAGGTAGTACTGGGAGAGACCATGTCATTAGGTAAGAATTTTGTAACAGAAAGCCAAAATGATTGCCCTTTGGTTAAACAGCCAGAATTACTACATGTTGATGAAGTGATGGAATTTCAAAATAAAAATCAATTAACATGTCATCTAATCTTTCAGGCAGTTTATGAAATTTGATCCTTACAAGTACATAGTATAGCATTGTTAAAAAAAAGAACAAAATACAAAAAAACAACAGGGCTATTTTCCGTGTTTCACAACCTCTTTGTGAGCATAAAGCAACATTATAGAGTTTGCCTTTGGGTCAGTCTTAGGGAAGACAAGAGCCTATTTCTTGATATAGTTTCTCACTCAGAAGAGTTGGTGCCAGAGACATAGAAGTTGCCTTTCTTGATTGTGGATGACAGAGGACCTGTTGAAATGAAAGAAAGCATAGTCTGTGTTTTGTACTTTGTACTTTATTCATTTATTTCTTATTATAATTAATGTTGATTGTATTTTATGTAATATCTGTGTTACTGTACTCCTTTAAGGTGTAATAATAAAAACCCGATAATTAAAATGCTGCTAAAGATATGGTTTAAAATGTCAGGAGAGATGCAACATGCTATGTTAATTTGATAAGTGATGAATAATGGATTTTAATATAAATAATTAGAAGATGTAATTTAAGTAAAGTTATTGTACTTAAGGGAAGGCAGATGGTGTTTTTTGAGTTTGTTTCATAAATCATCAGAATTTTCTAAGTAGTTACTTGCTCAGGGTAAAGAAAAAGAACAAGTTTGTAATAACAAAAGGTGCCATCCTCAATGGCATTTGCAGAGAATGAAAGTAAGGCCCCTAAGTAACACCTTAGAAAGTTTTAAGGGTTTCAAATAATGAATAATGTAAATTGATTTTAAAATTCTTTTCTGTATGTTTTCCTTGAAGCCAAGTAAAAATGTCAGTTAAGGAATAACAATTTGTACAATTATGAAGACAGAAAGAAATGATAGTGATATTATCGAAAGATATAAGCAGACTCTTTTGGAATATGCTTGGTAGTGTGATTATTTCAAAACAAACAAATGTAAGCTTAAAAGCTGTCATATAACTTTCCTGAGGAGGGGGCATTGTCCATCTTGCTTATCTCTGTAATCTCAGCACTTAGAAAAATATATAGATCATGGTAAAAACCTAATAAATATTTGTTGAATCAATGAATGGACCCTTGAGGACATGACACATCTAGCTAATTGAAATTCTAGATAGAAACAACAGAAGCAACGGGGTGTAGGAACTTACCAAAGAATAAAGCAGACAAAAATCACATTTAAAAAACGATTTTCCAGAGGTAGGACTTCAGTTTTTTCAAAGAAAGGAATTCACTAACAGAGAATTGACAGGGAAGCCACTCCAGGCCTTATCACTTAGTAATTTCACAATAGCAAGTACAAAGCTTCACAAGGATTAAAATTAATTTACAATTTGTTAGAAATTGGAGTGATACTGAACTTCTTACCAGCAGAGCTAAAAACTATTAGACAGTGAAGCGGTGTTTTCAAAATTTAAAAGGAAAAACATTTTCAACATAGAATCACATATGCAATGAAACCATCCAGTAAATATAAGGCTAATAGCTGTAGTTTGGAAAATAGCAAAGGTTTAAGGCTTGGATCTCAAAAGTATATTTTTCTTGGGAATGTACCACAAGATATACTAACATAAGTATTAGACACAGACGACATAAGACTAGATAAACAGATTACTCAACATAGGAGAGCAAGACGATGAAGCCCTAGGATGGGATATGTTGTAGGCCTGGAGAGTAACAGCATGGCTGAAGCCAAGGAAAAGAGCACCATTAAGAATTTTTTGGTTACAAAGTAGAATCAGTATGGGCCTGGTGCGCAGTAGCCTAGTGGATAAAGTCCTCACCTTGCATGTGCCAGGGTCTCATGTGGGCGCCAGTTCGTGGGTAGGCTTCTCCACTTGCCCTTCAACTCCCATCTTGTGATCTGGGAGGGCAGTTGATAGCCTAAAGGCTTGGGATGCTGCACCTGCGCTGGTGTGGGAGACGTGGAAGAAGCTCCTGGCTCCTGACTTCGGATTGGCTCAGCTCTGCCCTTTGGGGTTGCTAGGGAAGTGAACCAATGGATGGAATATCTTTCTTCTCTTTCTCTTCTTCTCTCTGTAAATCTGACTTTCCAGTAGAAATAAATGAATCTTTTTTTTTCCAGATCTATGAATCACATCTTTGTTTGTTTGTTTGTTTTTTTGCATATATCAACTGTTCAGGTTTTATTGCTTTGGGTTAATTTATTCACTGCGATATTCTTTTTTTTTATTATTAATTACGTTGCATTATGTGACATAGATTCATAGGCTCTGGGATTCCCCCATCCCCTCCCCAAACCCCCCCTTGGTGGATTCCTCCACTTTGTTGCAGTATTACAGTTCAAATTAAGTCAAGATTCTTTTGTTGCAATCGTATACCAAGCATAGAGTCCAGCATCTTATTGTCCAGATAAATTCAACAGTTTCTTAGGGAGACCTTAAAAAAAAAAAAAGTAGAGTCAATCAGTTCTTTGGCCATATGTAATGAATAAGCAAGAGACAAGACATTTTATCAAATAAGAAGAATAAGCTATAGAGATTTGGGAAACTAAACAAAAAAGAAAGTGATTATTTATACAGGAAATAGGAAAGTTGAACAAGCCATTATAGTTATTTTAATGTATAGTGTTACAATATAATATGCAAGTATGTTATGAAATTGATTTATGTGTGTATATATGACACTTTTGGAATAAGAAAGTAATTTCCACAGACATTCTACCATAAAACCATAGGGATTCCATTTACAAAAGGCTGAGAATGGCCAATTTCATTCTGCAAAAACCAAATACAAAACACAACAACCTTTTCAGGGCACTGGGAAATGAACAAAATAAAGCAACAACTGAACACATATTTCATCATGGAAAATAGCTGTTGCAATGGGAACGAATGGCATGTTTGTGAACCCTTTTTATTGGGGAGTGGGCTAACCACTCCCTCTTCCCTAACCTGGACAGAAAATGTACACTTCCCTTTCTACAGTACTGGGTTTGGTTTAGGATAAATGGAAGAAATGTAAGGGGATATTTTAGAATCAAGTAGCATAAAAGGATTGAGGATAGCATCTTCACATGACTCTTCTATACACTAGATGCCAGGAAGTATGTATTTTCAGAAAAAAAAAAAAAACCTTGGGAAAGCACTGAATTGCTGTGACTTTGATCTCATTCCTCCATCCAGATAGAACTTCTGGAGCAGGTGACTTTCTTTTTTGGAAAAGGCAGAGTTACAGATAGAGAGGGAGAGACAGATAGGGAGAGAGAGAGAGACAGAGACAGAGACAGAGAGATCTTCCATCTCTTGGTTCATTCTACAAATGGCCTCAGTAGCTGGAGCTGGCTCATCCGAAGCCAGGAGCCAGGAGCTTCTTGTGGGTCTCCTCTATGGGTACAGGATCCCAAGTAACTGGATTATCTTCTGCTGTTTTTTCTACGTGAATTAGCAGAGGTCTGGATTAGACATAGAGCACCCATGGCTCGAACCAGCACCCAGGCAGACACTTACACGTGCTTTGCAATGGTGCTTGCCCCAGAAAATGACTTTGTAAGAGGACTTACTATTCTCACATATTTGAGCAGAAGCTCTCCACCAACTATGTAAGAGGAGTAGATATTCTCTAGAGAGCCTTATTAAGTAAAATGAAACTGCACCTAGACATTAATTACTACACATGGAGAGACATTTTACAATTTAAATTCAGGCCAATTATATATTTAGGATAATTCACCACTAGTGGTTTCATAATTAACAAAATTGTAGTTGTACTCAGGTACGTTAAAATGATTCTAGATAGTGCTAAGATGAATTGATAAAGTGATAAGTATGTGGATAACTAAACGAGGCAATAATACCTTTGGAGTTAAAATTAAAGAATTAAAATATAGGTCACCCACAGCTTGGATAAAGGGAATTCTGTCCATAGGTTGAATGATTCAGCTCTGCATCTAACAACATGGCTTCAAAACAGTAAGTTTGGGGCCCGGTGGCGTGGCCTAGTGGCTAAAAGTCCTCACCTTGAACGCGCCAGGATCCCATATGGACGCTGGTTCTAGTCTGGGCAGCTTCACTTCTCATCCAGCTCCCTGCTTGTGGCCTGGGAAAGCAGTTGAGGACGGCCCAAAGCCTTCGGACCCTGCACCCGCATGAGAGACCCAAAGAGATACCTGGTTCCCAGCTTCAGATCGGCATGGCATCAGCCGTTGTGGTCACTTGGGGTGGGTCACTTGGGGAGTGAATCATTGGACGGAAGATGTTCCTCTCTGTCTCTCCTCCTCTCTGTATATCTAACTTTGTAATAAAAATAAATAAATCTTTTAAAAAAAATAGCAAGTTTGGGGCTGGCATGATGGTGGTTCAGACTAACCCTCTACCTGCAACACTGTCATCCCATATAGGTGCTGGCTGTAAGTCCAGCTGCTCCACTTCCACTTTGGCTCCGTGCTTATGGAGTGGGAATGCAGTGGAGGATGGCTCAACTTCCTGGGCCCCTGAACGTGGAAGAGCCAGAACCTCCTGGTTCCTGGCCCTGGGGGATAGACCTACTGATTAAAGTGCTCTCTCTGTCTCTCCTCTCTGTAAATATGCCTTTCAAAATAAAATTAACAAGTATTTCAGAAGTAATGAAAGTGCATAGGCCTTCCAGAAAAAATAGAAAAATATTTATCTTCATGACTGTACATAATCTAGTAAACTATTGATTTTGCACTTTTGCCCTTTTGGCTATGTTACATTGAACAACGGAAAACTTTTAAAAAGTCTATGAGGAATAACTTTGTCTTATTGAAAATTATTTGACAACACCATTTGGAGAAAATCCCACCATTAGTTATTTCTAGTTTTATTGTTACCTATTTAAAATTGTTATCATGAATGATTTTTTTTACCTAAATATGTAATTAGTTATAGTCATTTAATTTGAATGTTTTTGTTGATATCGTCATGAGCATCTAAAAAAACTATTTATTTGCTTGAAGTGCAGAATGGAAGAGAGTGAAGGAGAGACAGATCTTGACTCCCCAGATGTGCAGGCTGAAAGCAGGAGGTGGGAGTCATCTTGTTCTCCCATGTGAGTTTCAGGATCTCAGACACTTGGGCTGTCGTGCTGCTTTCCCAGGCACATTAACAGGGTGCTGGGTTGGGAGTAGAGCAGGTGGAACTCAAACCAGCAGTGGCTGGCAGCTTAACCTGATGTACCTCAGTCCCTGCCCATATTATGACAGTCCTTATAATAATATCTTTAAGATAAGTATTTAGGTATTTAATTATAGTGTCATTTTGTATACATAATTTTAATGCTTTTGCCAAGAGGCTTTCCAGAAATATCATTTTTATTCGAGTAGTACTATATGAATAAACAAATCTGTTTCCCATAATGAAAAGCTCACTGCCGTAACTGTTTGATGCTAAAAAAAAAATCTTCATTTATGTTCCCTTTTTATATAAAGTCAAATATTTTTTGTATTTTTAGAAACTTAAGATGGTTGTATTTATATTCAAGCCCACTAGACATCTTGTCTACTATTTAGATTTTTTTCTATAAAGTAATTAATCAGGTGACCAGAAATAGTGTGACTTGTACAGGAATTGATTCAGTGAGATTTGAGAGAATTAGTAGCATGAGATTGTGGTATCTATGCATGCCATTTTCAGTGACTTCTATGTCATGGGCTGTGACAGAGATGTGACTTTTTAAATAACATTCCTGGTGTGGGCAGAGCCTAGCGGCAGTACATTCACTTTGGATATAATTTTCTGGAAAGTCATTGTGCCCGCCTGGAGCCCCAGAACTATCTTCTTGACATCTGTTTATTTTGTCTTCTGAAATAAACTTTTTTTTGAAGATTTATTTATTTATTTGAAAGTCAGATACACAGAGAGGAGAAGAGATAGAGAGGAAGATCTTCTGCCCTATGATTCACTCCCCAAGTGAGCGCAATGGCGGGTGCTATGCCGATCTGAAGCCAGGAGCCAGGAACTTCTTCCGGGTCTCCCGCACGGGTGCAGGGTCCCAAGGCTTTGGGCCATTTTTGACTGCTTTCCCAGGCCACAAGCAGGGAGCTGGATGGGAAGTGGAGCTGCCAGGATTAGAACCAGCGCCCATATGGGATCCTGGTGTGTTCAAGGTGAGGACTTTGGCTACTAGGCCACACCGCTGGGCCCCAATAAACTTTTTTTTGTATTGGTCAGTTAACTGAGTATTAATTTCATCAGTATGTTGAATATTTTGTTTGTGATGATTATCTTGTCTACAATAAAAATATTAATGTATTAGAGAGACTCTTAATTTTATTTTATTCTGTTTTCTTTCTAGAAACCACAAAATTTTATATGACTGAGATAATAATACAGCCATCTGGGAGAAGTTTTCCCATTTTTCCAAGGTACAAATTGCAAATTAACTTTATTTTGTGTTTTCAAAAATAGGAGAATTGATACAGCTGATAATTTGGGAATTCATTTTAGTCATACCGCTAATTGAGAAGAGAAAAAAGTCACTGAAAAAGGCAGTTAGATAATTGAACCAAATTACATGTTTAAAAGATTTGAGAATTTATGTTTTGTTTATAGGATGGCGAAGACAAATGGACTCTTTCTTCTAACTCTGAAAGCTTTTTTTTTCTCTTTTAATGTGTTACATATCTAGGACCTTATAATCTAGCTATTTACAGGTTTATGAATAAATATTTAATTCTAATTTCACTTATTTTAGGTTTTCAGCAATAGCCAGTTTCAGATGGTGCCTGTGTTTTCAGAAACATTGCACTTGGTCACTAACTCTATTAATGTTTTCTTTCTTTGAATATTTTTAGTTTGCAAGCAAAACTTAACTCTAGTATTTCTTTCTTTCCTTTTTGATGTTCTCAAATAATGATGATCTGGATATCATCGGAACTTCACCTTCCTGTCAGTGGTTTGACTCAGTATCCTCAAAGCTGACATTTTAAGGAGATTGATTTGGAAAGCATGAAGAAAAGCTATGTGATTTTTGGAAGAGTATTTCTCAGCTTCTTCTGTAATTTAGTTAGCTACTATTAAATAAACATGACCAGAATGCTGACTTGTTCTAACATGGAGTCATTAGTTCGGTATAAGAGGGTAGTTAGGCTTCAGGTGGGAAATGTGTTAAGAATTAGAGAGTCAGTTTTAAGAAGAATGAAGCAAATGTAAGTCTATTACAGTATGTTAAATCCACATTAGTGCAGATTGCAAGCAAATGCATGGCGGATAGGAAACTCTGGCAGGCTGATGTCACTGTCTTTTAGCTTGTGGATATTTTTGGTTTATTGTACCCTTTAAGTTACTGTGAGAGCTATGTTGTAAGTCGGATTTCTGTTTAAACAGGTCTCAGTTTGTCCAGAGTGTTGTCGCCCAGTATCTGGTGGAGCTCTCCTCGGCCAGAAGCACGTTTAGATTGACAGTTCAAGATCTAGAAGGCAAAGTGTACATATTGGTAAGAAATTTCCTTCAGTTACCAGTAGCCTGATAGTGCAGGATATTTTATTTTAATTCTCAGGTCTAGAAAATAAGTGATCAAAAATTGATTTTTTTTTTCCCCATCAATCCAACCCATAAATCACCTACCCTTAATTAAAAAATATTTATTTTTTAAGAGTTATTAAGAGAGAGAACTGCTTTACTTCCCAAATGGCCACAAAAACCAGTGCTGGGCCAGACCAAAGCAAAGAACCAAGAGCCAGGGGGCCAAAGCTTTATCTGGGTTTCCTGTGTGGATGGCAGGGGCTCAAATGCTTGAGCCATCTTCCTTTGTAGGAGTGTCAACAAGAAACTTGATTGGAAGTAGAGAGCTTATTTTTTGACTAAAGTTGATACTAAATTTATCTCATAGCCATAGTCTGATATTGTTCTGTTTCCTTTTGTAGTCTGTGTGTGTTTAAAGATTTATTCATTTTTGGGTCCAGCGGCGTGGCCTAGTAGCCAAAGTCCTCACCTTGAACACACCAGGATCCCATATGGACGCTGGTTCTAATCCCGGCAGCTCCACTTCCCATCCAGCTCCCTGCTTGTGGCCTGGGAAAGCAGTGGAGGACAGCCAAAAGCCTTGGGACCCTGCACCCGTGTGGGAGACCCGGAAGAAGTTCCTGGCTCCTGGCTTCAGATCGGCACAGCACCCGCCATTGCGCTCACTTGAGTGAATCATTGGGCGGAAGATCTTCCTCTCTATCTCTTCTCCTCTCTGTATATCTGACTTTGTAATAAAAACAAATAAATCTTTATTTTTAGAAAGTCACATTTACAGAGAAAAGGATACAGAGAAAGATCAGTCTGCTAGTTCATTTTCCAAGTGGCTGCAATGGCTGGGAATGAGTGTTCCAAAGCCAGGAACCAGGAACTTCTGGATCTTCAACATGGTGCAAGGTTCCAAGGCTTTAGTCCATGCTAGACTACTTTCCCAGGCCACAAGCAGAGAGCTGGATGGGAAGTGGTATAGCCAGGATTCAAACCAGCACCCATATGGGATCCCAGTGTATACAAGGCGAGGATTTAGCCAGTAGGCTACTATCAGAGCCCTTTTGTAGTGTTTTGAATTTAAAAATAAAAAGTGGGATTTAAAAAAATTCGTATTTAATTTGAAGGACAGAGATACAGAGAGAGACTTAGAAACAGAGAGAGAGCTCCCATCTGCTGGCGTACTTCCCCATGCTGGACCAGGCCAAGGATCTGGAAACTCATCTCAGTCTTTGACATGGGTGAAAGAGACCCACTTAGTCATGCCATCACTTGCTGTTACCCAAGTGGGGTATTAACAAATGCAGCGAACTTCTATCCCTAGAACTAAGAGTTAAAGTTTTCCAGTATATATTTAATTAAAACTTTTTTCTTTTCATAGAAGTGTTAAATTCTTGAAACACATTCATACAATATAAAGACATAAGGTAGTGTTGCTCTGTGTTGTCCCCACCTCGCCCTACCCTACTCTGTTGTACTATCTGGAGGGAATCAGTATTAGCAGTCTGATGTGTGTCCTACTTCATTTTTTCTATCAGCACACAATTACATATAGATACGTTCACATGTATTTGATTGTAAAAGAAAGAATATCATGTGATTAGCATTTTCTACAACATGTTTGTCTTATGAGTATTGTTTGTTGTTAGCATAACATTTTGACTCTTTCGTGACTATAGTTCCACTGCAACAGTGAAAATCATCCTTGCACATGTATTTTAAAACTCTTTTAGAAATGGATCTTTCTGATACAGTGTTGGAGTTTATGTATTTTGTACTCAGAAAACAGTCATCTTCCAAAATGGCTTCAAGTGGAGATTTCTGGTGCCCCCCCCCCCCCCCCCCGCCCATGCCATCCCCTGGATTGGGTTGTTGCCTCTGTTCCCAGCAGCTGACAGAAGTGGCTGCTAAGGGCTCCCAGCTGTCTCATGCAGAGTAGATGTGGCTTTGCTCAGGAAGTCCCTTGATTCCCACTGTCTCTCAGGCCTGTCCTGTTCAGCCCTATTCAGCCCATTGCTGATCTGACCCTGAGCAAAAGGTCTGGGGCCTCATCGCTCAGGGTGAGACAAGCTATGGACGCAGCTCTTGTTGCAGCACTCCACAAAGGGTCAGGCTGCAGCCGTCTCAGCTGAGTCCCAGTCTAGCTTCCCTCAGTGGATCTTGCCCCTGCCTTTATCCAGTTCCCTGGTTTTTCTCTTGAGAATTTATTTGTCCCAGTGAATCCCATCCCCAAACACTCTTCCACCACCATGACAATGCCTGATCCAGATCCCTCTTCTGGAGTTGAAGTTATCAAACTTTTTACGTTTTTCTAATCTGATAAGTGAAAAATGGTGACACAAAACTTTGCATTTCCTATTATTTTCATTGACATATTTGTGTGTTCCTCACTTATTTCTTCTGTTCAGATTCATTGCCTGTGTTTCTGTCGGGGTTCGGGCTTTTTGTGTGTGTGTGTGTGTGTGTGTGACTGATTGGTTTCTAGTAGCTATATTAGTATTATAGATAGTAACTTTGGTACTACATATTTCTTGTAGTCAGTTTTTCTCTTTTTTAACTTTATGATTGTTACACTGTCAACTAAAGGCTACTCAAATTAAAAAATACATGAATCCATGTTCTTGATTGATATATGTATATAATCCATATATATATATATAAAATCTCTATTTTCTATATTTTCTGAGTAGTGACATAAAATCTGGACAGATTGGCAATCCTTGTGCTTTTCTCTCCCTATCTTTAGCTTTGGCTTTTAAACTCTGATAGTTTGGTGATTGACTATTTGAGAAATCCTGAAAGTATCAGAAAATTCCCCTTTTTGGAAGACGCATCAACAAATTCCCTTTCTGCCTGGAATGCTGTCAAGGTCCTTTACCAGCCATGTGTCAAAAATAAGAATGAAAAGTAAGTTATGCTTTTGTTTTCTCACCCCTCATTATGGTTTAACTTCTGTTTTCATGTTGGTGTTAAGAAATTAAAAGGTTAGATTTTACTGAATCACTTCCCTCCTTGAAGCTTCTAGGAGTCATATAGGTATGTATCATGCTTTTAAAGTAGATCACATTATTACAGATGATTTTATTACATTCCCATTCTAAGAATAAGAACACTAAGACACAGGTGGTCAATTGTTTCATGATACAAAGCAAAGTAAGGTGGCTGGGGAGTGATGGTCTGGCCTTAGAAGTTAAGAGTTAGAGAAAGTTCCTCAAGTGTGGTGATGTTGAGGGAGGAAACACGAAGGAAATGAAGTCATGACAGGGAAAAGTGTTCTTGGTGGAGGGAACGGCAGGCTTTATTTAAAGATATTGGAAGTTTCTACTTGAGTTACACTCTTACATCAGTTTGATAAAATTTGTACTAATAACAGAAAGATCCCAGTCTTTTTTCTGAGAAGTAAAGACATTTAAAAAAAGAATTACTGCTTTTGAAATCATAAAAGATTCAAGCACTGAAGACTTCTGTAGAGGAAAAATGAATGTTCTACATCAAGTTCCTCTCTAGAAGTAAAAAAATTGTTATTTATTCTTTGCCTCTTTTTTGCTATTCATTTTGCTTCCTAATGTAATTTGAATGATACATATATGATCTTTATCCTTAAAAAACACTGTTTTAGAGAGTGTTCCTATGTTCATTTTTGATATTTTAAGAAACTATTTTTTCCATTGATAAATATTTGAGTTGTCATCTATTCAGGTTATTATTAGTATTCTAGTATCCACTATTATTTATTTGTTTTTTGATTATATACCAGCCCCTATGCTGCTGTTTTTTTTTTTTTTTTTTGGTAACTAAAATGACAGTAAGTATCAACTTTTAAACTTTTTAATATGTTGATTATATTTTCTGTTGACACTATTATATACTTAGATTTATATATTCCAGTTCATTAAAACTTTTTGTTAGCTCTTTTAATTATTGGAAAGATATGTGAAACTTCAAATTATGCTTTAAGAAATCATTTTTTTCTGACTTTGGTGTCAGATTTGTATTATATTGTCTTAGGTTATGTTGAAATATACATAAAGGTTTTGTATTGGGATAATTTTACTATTTGTATATTTTATCAAGATTTTTCTCTAGTTTCCATATGATGCTATTCTTTTTATTCTACTTTCTTTGATGTTAATATTGCCATCTTTAAGTTTGTGAACTTTTTTTTTGCATTTTCACCTTTCTGTGCCATTTTATCTCAAATGTATGTATTGCTTGTGTAAACCTTTTGAATTGCATGTTGCTTGATATTACCAAACTCAAATAATAATTTGAGTTAACATTGAGTATGATTACTGCTGTAGTTGGACATAGACTGCCATCATTAGATTGGTTTTCTTCTCTATGCAATTTTTGCCTTCTGATGTTTTGGAAGGATAAAACATCTATTTCAAAATGAATTTTTATTAACATTGAAATTTTAATGTGTATTAAGATTTTTATTTTAAAATTTAACTACCAGTATTTAACTTAATTAATATCCATATTGTTCAATAGAATGAGAAAAGCTGTAGCCATTTTTCTTCTTGTTCCCTCTTGTTAAGATCATCAGTCTGGTGATGCCTCTTGTGTTTCTCCTTGTGGAAGCATCCTGACCAAGTTCTCCCTTTTTATTTACTTCATACTGTCATGGGACAGTGAATGTATAAAAATTTTGATATTATTCACATTTCCATAAAATTGCAGTATTTAATATTATAGTATTTAAATATTCTTCAATCTTTTAACCCAGTATTCTTTGGGTAATATTTTTAATTTGGGAAAGTAGTAGTTCTTTTAAACTTGGGCAGTAGTCATTTTTGAATATTAGAAAATGTCTTCTATTCCCGTATTTCCAAAAAATTTTAGCATTTTCTGTTTATCTTTAGTTTTACAGGATTTTTTTTTACAGATCAATCTAAAACTGGATGCTCACTCCAGATGTTATCATTTGTTATGATCTGTCCTTTTGTTAAACTGAAATATTTTCTGAGCCTCAGTAAAATAATAATAGTACTTTTTTCTGTTTACTAGATTTTTTTCTTTGGGTATTAGTTTAAATTTTCTTAGAGAGGTCGACTTTTTAACCTTTCTTTCATGACCTTGCTTCTCCCGCACATTTGAAGGTTTTGTTAGCATTCCTGAACTAGCAAGCTAGGACTGTATCTGTCTTACTCATCTCTACTTGTAAAATTTATGTTTATACAATGGTACATGATATTCTGGTTACTTTTTGTTAATAAATAACTGTTCACCTATTACTTAATGACTGTAATTTTATAAGGATAACCTTACGGGATTAGTGAAAGAGAATTCAAAAGGTATCCCAGACTACATGTGCTACTTTGTCTTTTGAAAACTTTTGGATTTTAAGAAGAATAAGTAGTTATAGATTCAGTTATGCCGTTGGGTCTTTACACTGTCTTTTTTGAGGACTGTTACAAGAATTGATGACGTGTCCCATTATTTCACTTATTCCTAAAAACATTTCATACTAGAAATGTACTAACTACATTCAGCTATATTCTATAATATTTTCTTAAACTTTTTAAAACTCCAAATGCTTGGGGACAGGTTGAGGTGTAATAATTGAAATTTATTTCTTCAATTTTCTTTTGAATACAGCCATTTTGGTTGTGATTTTCCTTCTGCTGTTGTTTGATTTTGAGTCCTAAAGTAGAAAAGAAATTTCACATGTTTGGTAACCATGCTGGGTATTATTTACTTATGTTTTTTTAAGGATGTTATTGGCTTTTGTTTTGGGCATGACTGAGCAAGCTGTAGATTCTCTGGCATAGACTCTCTGGCACATGGAATGGTGCGTTGATTATTTTAGTTCAGTTGGCTAGAATTCTTTATCCAGTGAAAGTATAGATTGCCAGATGGGAGTCTAAAAGAGGAAATAGCAAATGTAACGAGGGTTTTATTTCCTTGAGCTCACACAGAAAAGTAGCATACAGTATTTTTAGAATGTTCTTTCTAGCAATCGACACACTTTTGTTTCAGCATTATTAAAGATACTGAATTTGATCTGCTCCCACCTTTCTCAAATCAGTGTTTCATTTCTTGGCAAGCTTCAATAGCTTTTTAGTCCTTCATATTTTGTTGGTTAAAATAGTGCATGTTTATTTCACATTCTTCAGTTTAGTTCTTACATCATAGCTTTTAGCTTTAAACCCTGAATTAACTTCTGTTCTCTAATTCTACCCATTCATCTGTGTCCTCATATTCTCTAGATAGGGGTTAATTTTATCCTTCAAGGGACATTTGAGAATGTTATTGATTGTCACACTAAGGGTATTGCTGATATCCAGGTTTGTACTAAATGTAAGTTGTCTCAACAGGATGTAGTCTGACATGCTAAACAAGTAAGACAGCATTTGAGGGCTTGGCACAGTGGATCAATTGCCTAATTCTCCCCCTTCAAGTACCAGGATCTCATCTAGCTACTGCACTTACCATCCAAAGCTTAATACTTGTGGCTTGGGAAAGCAGCAGAGGATGGCTCAAAGCCTTGGGACCCTGCACCCATGCGGGAAACCCACAGGATGTTCCTGGGTTTAGATTGACTCATTTCAGGCTGTTACAGCCACTTGAGCAGTGAATCGTCAGATGAAAGATTCTTTTGTCTGTCTCTTCTTCTCTCTGTAAATCTGACTTTCCAGTAAAAATAAATAAATGTTTAAAAAAAGGAAAGAAAATTTGAACTTAAGATTTTTTTTTAAAAGATCTCCTATTAGGACAACATGAATTCTGTGAAAATTGAAGCAAAAACAAGCAACCAATTTCATGTGAAGCATTGGATGAAAGAAAACAGAATTACTAATACTTTGGGAAAAGCTTATGGGACCAATGCCACCAAAGAAATCTGCAGATTGAAAATAGATTATTAATTGTATGTGTGTTTAAATAGTTATTTGTTTCAGAGGGTTACAGAGAGAGTGTGAGTGTACAAGTGAGCACACATGCTCTTTTTCTTTTACTCATTTATTCCCCAAATGGTTTCAACAACTGAAATTGTTCAGGTAGAAGTCAAGAGCAGGAACTCAAGAGTTTGGGCCATTATTAGTTGCTTCCCAACGTGTAGTCAAGGAGCTAGGTGGCATTCTGATACAGGATGTAGGTGTCAGTTGGTGGCTTGATGTGCTGTGCCATGAAATTTTAAATATTTTGGATCAGGATCTTGAAGCATTTCTTCAAGGAATTGTAGCAGGAACATATTGATGAGTAGCAAGAAGCGGAGTAGAGTGTGGGATGTGACTTGGAGTTGAGCCACCATTTACAATTCTGACATTTCGTATCACAGTGCCGGTTTGAGTCTTGGCTCTTTTGCTTCCCAATCCAGTTCCCAACTGATGTTTCTGAGAGGTAACAAATGATGGTTTAAGTACTTACTTGAGTTTCCTTCACCCACGTGGAAGACCGAGGTGGAGCTTATTATGGCACCATGGTCCAGCCCTGGCTATTGTGGGCATTTTTGAAAGTGAACCTGTGGATGGAAGATATTTGTCAGTTGGTTTATCTTGTTGTGTGTGCGTGTTTGTGTGTGTGTGCATGCACGTGTGTGTCTGCCTTTCAAATAAATGAAAGTTTATTTGTAAGTGGGGTGGTCCTTTCCGTGTCATAATAGATCAGGTAAGGGGAAAGGTCATGCAGCAGTTTTTCTTAGAAGCTCAAGTCATTTTGCTTATTCATCCTTTGAAGGGCCTTACAGGCCACACAATGGTAATGTCTGCTTGTGTGATTGTTTTAAGAAAGCTAGCCAAAGCTGTAGGAAAAACTAAAACAAAAACTTGAGCAAGTTTTACCAGACAGCCCTCCTTCACTAGTGCAGTATTTCTGCTCATTTTTCACATGAAGTAGGGACAGTTATGTAACATTTTTATGGGAAATTATTAGGCATCCACCTTATAGTCTGATTTGGCTCTTTT